CGATGTTGTTGTAAGAAGTAGCCAAGTCGGGATGATTCGGAGGGAGAACTATTTTACGAATTTCAAGTGATCGCTCATACGATGAAAGTGCTTTCGAGTACTCGCCCATGCTATAATATACCGAACCGATGTTATTGTAAGAAGTAGCCAAGTCGGGATGATTCGGAGGGAGAGCTATTTTACGGATTTCCAGTGATCGTTCATACGATGAAAGTGCTTTCGAGTACTCGCCCATGCTATAATATACCGAACCGATGTTGTTGTAAGAAGTAGCCAAGTCGGGATGATTCGGAGGGAGAGCTATTTTACAAATTTCAAGTGATCGTTCGTACGATGAAAGTGCTTTCGAGTACTCGCCCATGTCATAATACGCCCAACCAAGTTTATGGTTGTAATCTGCTCGAGCCGTATCAGAAGTTGCCTGTGGGAGAAGTATCTTGTAGAGCTTCTCAGCTTTTGCAGGCTCGCCAAGTTTGAGAAGTATGAAAGCTAGTTGTGACCATCCTCGTTTTGGTGCTTTCGAGTTGACATCTTCGCGTATGTGTGCTGTAAGTCTGTTAAAGTCATCGTCTTGATTACCCACAAGAGTGAGATTAACTTGCCATAAGCGATCAGCATTCTTGTCTTCAATTCTTTCGATGCGATAGATACGAAAAATTGTATGTGTTGTAAAAACTATTTCTTCCTCTTTATCTTTGTAGTAGCCTACTTTGCTTACTTCAGCAAATGGTGTTGATGTTTTTGTACAAATAGCCGTGTCAATGTTCATAACGAAGAGAATACCAATTGAATTTGTATTTAATGCTGCTGGTCGTGCAAAGTTGTTGAAAGATATCTCGCGATTGCGACTTGTCGAGAGAAAATTATTGAAGGACATAAGTCCTCCTTTGGTTTTTTTCAATTTTTCAAAATCTTCCATGGACAAACCTTGTCCACGGAAGACTTGAAATTTTGCTGGCATGCTGCCTTTTTGTTCACAATGTAGTTCGGTAATATGCTGATGTAGATGTCGGATGAAAAAGCCCATTTTAAGGATGATGTCAACATCCATTTGTCGAAGACCACAATTAAGCATTGAGTAGATAAAATATGGACCTGTGTACCACCAAATGGGTGAATGATTACGATATTCTTCTTCAATCTTTTCAAGTGTTTTTTCGGAAGCATCGCTTTGAAGACGACAGTATTCAACAAGTTCTTTAATCGATTTGACATCATCATCTTCGATCTCCAAGAGTGCTACTTTTAGCAATTGTGTATACATAAATAACGGATCAATACGATTAAAACTGATCGAGATCATAGTTCGATCACAATTTTCTCGATCGATTTGCAACGCCTTACATATCGGCTTGATTTTTGTGTATACGCCTTTGATCTTTGGTACTTTATTGGCCCATTGTTCATGAGCTGCTTGGTTGCGACAGAATACATAGACTGACTCCAGTTGTGGCCATGCTTCAATATCTGCTATTATTTGCCGTCCCAGTGAACCAGATATGATCATAAATACCTTTTCATTTTTAATGGCACTGAGAAAATCAATGCATTCTTGAGCATCGGCAAATGTTTCGATGCTTGCTACAACACGTCGCAGACGTCGAAACGATTTCCTGAAATCATCCTTGAATTCATCCAAGTTGGCATCAAGCCATAGAAGCCGGAAATTTTGAAGAACCCGACGCATAGGTCGAGACAACACAACAGCAGCACGATTGTTCGCGTTGGTAATAGTGGTGGCGCTAGGCATCGCTGCTGCACCACTGATAACAGTTGTTGTCGATTTTTGTCTGCTCATTGTAACTGAACGAATGAATATAATCAGTGAAACGTAGTCCCCTATATTTATAATTGTTAAATTTTTTGTTGGTTAACATCATTCCTTTTCTGACTTGTGGCTACAGACTTCAAGAACCTCTACTATCTGGTTCATTTTTGTTTCAAGAATGTTACTGACAAAATGACGATAACGGATGGATCAAGTCTCTATACATCGAACCATAAATAAAGAAGAATGGCTAAGGAAACAAATGGTCGCTGAGGATGGATGACATGACTAGTCCGAAATATTGAGAATACTTGTCGTGACTAGTTATACTGACAAGAAAAGTCCTACAGCTATATCTGAACTAGTCCAGAATGTCCTCAAACTTCGACATGTATAACCCGTTTCTCTATCTAATCAGTTCAGATTAGTCGGTAGACCAGAAAAAGAGTATTTCTAAAAGTAAAAATTGTGCCTTTCATTGCTGGTACTCGTGTTGAACTGTATGCACACAAACAGTTACTCTGTTTAATATGTTTTACAATAAGATTGTTTTATACATACAAGATTCTGCAACCAAGACAATCGGTTGCATGTTCTGAATATTATCAAACGAAGTTCTCGTAAAACTACTTTATAAACGTAAAAATAACACATATTTATGTACCGTCATGTTTTTTGTGTGTAGCTACTCTTTACTTTTCACTTTAATTTTCTTACTAGTCTAATAATGTTAGAAACTAAATATACTTACGTGCTATGTAATGTTGGAGTATAGCAAATTTTGTTTTGTGTGCTTGCAATCGATTTTGTTCTGTGTTTATTATTGACAAAATTACTTGGTTTTTTCCCACAAACGTATATTTACATGAATCAATGAAGCATGACTTTTTCATCAATGTGCTCGTCATCACATGCGTTTCGTTTTTCATATATTCTACCTCTTCTATTTTTACCTTACCTTTGCGTTTTGTGTTGTTACAATGATAAAATATACACTGCAGAGATGGGCAAGTCATTTTTTCAAGTCATTTCAAAAAATCTACATACATTTTCTCATTTGAAGAGTATGGCTCTAATTTCAATGTGGCT